AAAAAAAAAAAATATATATATATATATATATATATATATATATATATATATATATATATGTATATCGTCTTCCTTAAAGCTTGGCCTCTGAAACACATATCAGGAGGAACTTCGACAGTGAACGGAACTATTATAGTGCCGAATCAAATTGCAACGTTCTCTCTCTCTGTCACAGATCTCAGAGGTTGTGCAAAAAGTGCATCCACTGACCGCTCCTCTCAAAGGCCTTGCAAATGTTGACCAATTCGCTCCTTTGTCGAGAGCGGTCAGTTTTTGTGACGTCACAGGCACGTGCATTTTGATATGCAATCCTTAACGGTCTTTCCTTCCCACCATCCTCTCTCTGTTGCCAAAATTATATACTGCGCACACATAAACACACACACACGGTTCATGCGAGAGGAAGGCACAAAAACATCTAAATGTTTATTTTTTGTTACAATAACTTTTTCCTTTGCATCGTTTGAATTCCAAATCAGCATTTCTTCCCTTGTTCCTGTTATTTCACTTCAATTTCGTTTTTTTTCCGTTCACCCAAGTAATTTTGCTTATCATAGTTCCATTCAAAGAGCGCGGTTCTTTAATCTCTTTGATTAATATTATTATCATTTTTTTAAAAATTATTTTAAAGAATTTCCCAATTCATGACGACGGCGAGTTTAATATTATATACAAGCATTTCTATTTGCGCTCGACTCGTTGAAGTACGAGACACTGCTTGCAGTCGCGAGTGAGGAAGCGGGGGTGAGGCATGCATGGAGACAGTTTAAGTTTTGTGTATATATATGTATATTTGTATATGTACATATATATATAGATAGATACACACATGAGTGCATATAAATAGATAGATACACAGACAATAATAATAATCCTGATAAATATTGCAGGTCTGTCCTATGCACATTGTTTGTACGATTTTTAGTATATTCTGTAATGTTTATTATCACACACATATGTCAATATATATATATATATAGATAGAAAGATAGAAAAACAAATATAGATAGATAAATAGATACACACGCGTATATGTATAAAGAGATAGATAGATACAAATACACGTATGTGTATATATATATATATATATATATATATATATATATATATATATATACACACACACATATATATGTGTGTATATATATGTATGTGTACATATGCATATATATGTATATGTATTTACAAACATGTGTATATATACGTGTAGGTGTGTGTGTGTATCCATAAATAAATAGCCTTTTCTCAACGTATTCAGTAGTACCAATATGAATACAAACTATTAAAGGAAATCTAACGTTATCATCACATATGACAGCTGCTCTAAGGAACAGAGCCAAGAAGGAACAGACTCTAAAGCAACTTCCCATGCCGGGAATCGAACCCGGGCCTCCTGGGTGAAAGCCAGGTATCCTAGCCACTAGACCACATGGGAGTGATATGAAGTGGATTCATTCATATTACTCTAGTTTTTACAATTCCTCGTTTTTTTCCTTTTTTTGTGACTCCAGAAAACGCTTATATATATATATATATATATATATATATATATATATATATATATATATATATATTCATATTTTCTCCGTTCTTAAGATTATTTCTATTTTATTTCATTTTACTGTAAGCCTATACTCAAATGGATATACATAACCAAACACAAGCAAGTGTGCACGCCTATATATGTATATGTATGTACATACACACAAATTATACATACATACATACATATATATATATATATATATATATATATATATATATATATGTATATACATGTATATATGCACCCCCCCCCCCCCAACACACGCACACACACACACACATATATACTTAAACACTACCGTACCGTAGTGTGTATGTATATATATTTATCTATGCACACTCACACATCGCGGCGCGCGCACACACATGTAATAATTATATATACATATATATGTATACATATGCATACGCACCTACACACACACATTATATTATAGTGCCGAATCAAATTGCAACGGTCTCTCTCTCTCTCTCACAGATCTCAGAGGTTGTGCAAAAAGTGCATCCAGCGCTGACCGCTCCTCTCAAAGGCCTTGCAAATGTTGACCAATTCGGTCCTTTGTCGAGAGTGGTCAATTTTGTGTGACGTCACAGGCACGTGCATTTTGATATGCAATCCTTAACGGTCTTTCCTTCGCCTTCATCCTCTCTCTGTTGCCAAAATTATATACTGCGCACAAATAAACACACATACACACACAGACGGTTCATGCGAGAGGAAGGCACAAAAACATCTAAATGTTTAATATTGTTACAATAACTTTTTCCTTTGCATCGTTTTAATTTGAAATCAGCATTTCTTCCCTTGTTCCTGTTATTTCACTTCATTTTTTTTTTTTGTTCACCCACGTTATTTTGCGTGTATGTATGCATGAGGTTGCAGATTATCCGAAAATTGCGATTTTCATTTCTTGTGTGCAAATGTTCTTTGAGAGGTCTTGTCTGAAGATTAATTCGTACGGAAGATTATTTTGCAAACCACAGGGTGTTAGGCTCTACCCTCTGGTAGAGTCTAAATTAGAAGAATCCCTTCAGGATGTTATTGGACCATTTGCCAAAATTTTCCTGAACTACTTTAAATGTTTATTTCCTTGATCGATACTCTACGATGCAAAAATAAATTCTTACCGCAAAGTATTCAGTAGTACCAATATTAATATAGATTATTAAAGGGAATCTAACTCGATTGAGGACACGAGCGTTACCATCACATATGACAGCTGCTCTAAGGAACAGAGCCAAGAAGGAACAGACTCTAAAGCAACTTCCCATGCCGGGAATCGAACCCGGGCCTCCTGGGTGAAAGCCAGGTATCCTAGCCACTAGACCACATGGGAGTGATATGAAGTGAATTCATTCGTATTACTCAAGTTTTTACAATTCCTCGTTTTTTCTTCTCTTTTTTTTGTGACCTTTAGACTTCGATCTTAAATGTGACTGCAGAAAACGCTATACTTTTTTTTTTCCGTTCTTAAGATTATTTTTATTTTATTTTATTATATCTTACTGTAAGCATATACTGAACACACACACACACACATACATATATACTTAAACACTGTACCGTACTGATACTATGGTAGAAAAAACAACATATATATATATATATATATATATACATGTTATATGTATATACATGTATATGTACATATATGTATACATATATATGAATATATATATACATTTATATATATATGAGTGTGCATGTGTGTATGTATATGAATTTATTTATCTATGCACATTCACACGCGCGCTCGCACACACACACACATTATGTATATATATTGTATATATATATATATATATATATATATATATATATATATATATATATATATATTTGTGTGTGTGTGTGTATTTGTTTTATCTATGCACACTCACACACGCGCGCGCGCGCACACACATATATATATACATATATTTTTACATACACACATATATACATATACATATACAATAAAATAATATATTTACATATACGTAAACATACATATACATATACATACATATATATATATATATATATAATATATATTATATATATATACATATAATTATGTATACATATGCATACGCACCTACACACATACACACACAAACACACACACATACATACACACACATACACATATATACACAACCTTAGTTTGCTTGTGTTCAAGTCATACCTACTTTAGTCTTCCTTAAAGCTTGGCCTCTGAAACACATATCAGAAACTTCGACAGTGAACGGAATTATCATAGAACCGAATCAAACTGCAACGTTCTCTCTCTGTCACAGATCTCAGAGGTTGTGCAACAAGTGCATCCAGCAACTGACCGCTCCTCTNGAGAGAGAGAGAGAGAGAGAGAGAGAGAGCACAGACTTTAAAAAGAAAATATGAACTGGTCATGTTGATACTTCTCAGAGATCTCAAAGCCAGACACAGCATCACAAATAGCAAGTATAAGTTTACTGCTCATACTTTTATCCCGTCTTCAGCGCAAGAGAGAGACACAAGACGAGCAAAACCAGCATCAAAGAGTGCTAACAGAAGCCGCCTTGTTACCTGCCAGAAAGAAAAAAGTGAAGATGAAAGTGAAAGACATTTTCCTTCAGTCTAACAGTGTCTCCTCACACTCGGAGGCAAAGGTATTTTCCTCTTGATAATTGGGATCGAACCACCAAAGCTGCAGTGTTATTCACGGCGAAAGAAGTGACTTTGGAATTCGAAACTCACTTTCCTGAGGCGGCTTCTTCGTTCAAAGGGATCTTAAAGGGATTTACATTTCTTGGGACTATTCCAACTGACAATATAAACTGCCTGATACGACTGTCTAACCCCCCCTCTGCTTTTCTTTCTACCAATTTATCAATGTATCTGGTTATCTTTTTGTTTATCTATCTCTTTATACGTCAGTGTATGTATGTATACATGTATATATGCACGTATGTATGTACGTATGTATATACTTGTGAATGTGTGCATGTTTGCATGTATGTATGTATGTAAGTATGGATGTAACAGTCTATCTATTTATCTGCCTTTCACTCTATCTATCCATCCATCTATCTACAGCTATCTATACATCTGTCAGTACCATCTATAACGATATATTTGTTTATGTTTATATTCATTTGTAATGTACTAATCTGTATCCGCAATTGTGGTTAATGGAATTTAAACAAACCGCACTTATAAAATGGCACAGAACACTACTGTCCCTTATGCCAAGTTCTCCCAGGGTTCAATTTAAGCACCTGTGTAGGGTATAGGACGAAGGCATCTTGAAAGTAGTGGTCTTTCCAACTGTTTCTACTAATGCACATGCAAACATGCATTCACATATACTCTCTCTTTCTCAGAAGCATATCATTCTGTAATTTTGTTTTTTGTACTTTCTTTATATCTTTCTGCGTCTATATGTCTCTCTCTATCTGTATACATGTGTCTGTGAATTGATGAACTAAATAATTCAGTCTCTCCCTCTCTATCTAGCTATCTGTATAGGAATACATCTATCCAAATATCTACCGCAGGAATGGGTAGCGTTTGTCTGGCGTGAACACAGATACTGACTGTTGGCGAAGACCTTGGGCGAGATGGGCGGCAGGCACGGGATGGCCCCCGACGGCACCAAGATGGAGTTGACGATGATGGCCTGGAGGCGCAGGAAGACGAGCGTCAGCTGGAAGGCGACGATCTTGGGCGTGTAGTGGAACTCCTGCAGCTGCCGGAGGGACGCCTTGAATCCCACGATGAAGGCCCACAGACCGAAGAAGAAGGAGGTGGTCGTCACCAGGTAGATGTAGATGTAGGCGTTGTTGGGCCGCATGTCCATGTGGGTGTACCTGTCGGAAAGGCATATTCTGGGCAGCTGTTCTCGGTAATTACTAGTTACTGGGTATTACTAAGATGTTTACCCAAAACACTGGTCGAGCTCCCTCAGAAACGGCATTTGACGTTCTCTGTCTGTCTGAGTCTATTACATTATATTACTGGAGGAGATTTTGAAGCCTGTTATCTACCAAAACAGGGATAAAGGACCATGCTGAGTCATTTCGGTACATTCAGTGTTTTGGCTCAAGCAAGAAAATCCTCGCGAACTGCTTGTCAAGGAAATCTGACAGGAAGGCTCCGACTGACCAGCCTTCGATCCAGAGCGTGACTTGGAAGATGGAGACGATGAGCTGGACCCACGGATGCTGCATCACCAGGATCTTCACCATCCGGATCTGTGGCCTGCGGGAGGTTAAATGGAGATTAGTAATTCATACGAACGCGTTTCAAAGAGGAAAGTGCATCCTAGATGTGGATAAATAATATTACGGCATTTTTAGCTGATGGCACAACAACATTAGTAAACAAATGAGTTTTATTAAGACTGCGAGGCGACATGGCTGCGTCACTAGCCAAGTTGGCCGCACGACCTACTTGATGACCGTCGACTTCGGGCAGCAGATGCAACAGGGCCAGCAGCAGCAGGGCGGCCCCTTCCAAGGCAGCACCGTCCCCTCCATCTTCCTGACGAAGCGAGACTCGCCGCCGAAATAGGAGAGCGTCAGCTGGAGGAACTGCCACATGCACAGCGCGAACCACAGCTGAGCCGTCGCGTCGAGAAACATGTTAGCCTTTTGGAAGAGCAAGCCCAGGTAACTGCACAGCCCGATGACCTGCAGCGAAGGAGGGAAGGATGAGGAGGTGCACGGTGCTTCTTTGCGTGTGTGTCAGACTGGGATTAATCTTTTAGCTTTCTCTCAATCTTATGCTACGTATACATTCCATATCCATTGCATGCACCCGCACACACACACACAAACTCATAAACAAACACACACAATATACATATGCTCTATATGCATATATACATACATTGTGTATGTGTGTGTGTGTGTATACACACACACACACATATATATATATATAAATATATATATATATACTCTGTGTGTGTGTGTGTATATACCTATATATATATATATGTGTGTGTGTGTCCATATATATATATATATGTGTGTGTGTGTCCGTAATAACTTCGTATAGCATACATTATACGAAGTTATACGAATATATATATAAACACACACACACAAACCCATAAACAAGCACACACAATATATATACGCTATATACATATATACATACATTGTGTATGTGTGTGTGCACAAACACACAATGCAAATGCTATTAGACAAGCCAAGGAACAGTAATCTCATTGCAAAAACATCTCTCCTCAATCCTCGTAATAACTTCGCATAGCATACATTATACGAAGTTATATGAATAGATATATGTGCACACACACACACAAACCCATAAACAAGCACACACAATATATATACGCTATATACATATATACATACATGTGTGTGTGTGTGTACATCCATCCATTCGTATAACTTCGTATAATGTATGCTATACGAAGTTATTACGAGGATTGAGGAGAGATGTTTTTGCAATGAGATTACTGTTCCTTGGCTTGTCTAACCCCCCCCCCCCCCCTGTGCACACACACATACACAATGTATGTATATATGCATATAGAGCATATGTATATTGTGTGTGTTTGTTTATGAGTTTGTGTGTGTGTTTGTGTTTGTGTGTGTATTTACACACACACACACACACACACACACGCATATACACCGACTTGCACCGACACCTGTCTGGCACTGACCGGGTAGACGGAGAGCACGACGCAGGTGGTGGCCTTGTGGCGCGGGTGGCAGTGGCGCACCACGTGGCGCACGGTGTCCACCAGGAGGCCGACCAGCGTCACGAAGGCGACCGTCGCCAGGCCCAGCAGCACCCAGCCGGCGACGCCCAAAGCTGCAAGGGACGGAAGGCGGTTGGTCGTCGCTGCGGGAGGGCTGAGGGCCCCTGGTGCTCGAGGTAGCTTAGTTATGTACGCTAGTGTGGGTAGGGATTTCAGGTAGACATGGGTGTGTGTATATATATACGTACCGTAATAACTTCGTATAGCATACATTATACGAAGTTATACGATGTCACGTGCGAGCAGGCACGTACAGGCACACGGCGTAATAACTTCGTATAGCATACATTATACGAAGTTATACGATGTCACGTGCGAGCAGGCACGTACAGGCACACGGCGTAATAACTTCGTATAGCATACATTATACGAAGTTATACGATGTCACGTGCGAGCAGGCACGTACAGGCACACGGCGTAATAACTTCGTATAGCATACATTATACGAAGTTATACGATGTCACGTGCGAGCAGGCACGTACAGGCACACGGCGTAATAACTTCGTATAGCATACATTATACGAAGTTATACGATGTCACGTGCGAGCAGGCACGTACAGGCACACGGCGTAATAACTTCGTATAGCATACATTATACGAAGTTATACGATGTCACGTGCGAGCAGGCACGTACAGGCACACGGCGTAATAACTTCGTATAGCATACATTATACGAAGTTATACGAGTGTGTGTGTGTGTGTGTGTGTGTGTGTGTGTGTGTGAGAGAGAGAGAGAGTGTTTGTATGTGTGTGTGCACAAACACACAATGCAAATGCTATTAGACAAGCCAAGGAACAGTAATCTCATTGCAAAAGCATCTCTCCTCAATCCTTTCCCACCGCCTCTTACTCCCGGTTAAATCCTCCGTTCACCTTCCTTCTCACTCCACCAGCGCCCCCTTGGGAGTCTCCACAGCGGCCCGCAGAGTAAACCGGAATCACACACAGCGCATCGCACATCCTGACAGGCCAAAGAGTACATCTTGACGCGGGCGTGCAGTACACCGAGGCAATTTGGGTGGACAGCAACCCGGACCGAACCGAGGCTTAAAATATCCTTCCGCGTCCTCGGCTCCCTTCCTCGGCTCCCTTCCTCGGCTCTGTCTCCTCCCTGGCGTGTCACGTGCGAGCAGGCACGTACAGGCACACGGACACAGATAGACACTCATGCTTGTCCATAGGAAAGAGGGAGAGGAAATGAAACGGAGAGAGGATGAGAGAGAGAGAGAGAGAATGAAAGAGAGAGAGAGAGAATGAGTTAGATAGAGAATGAGAGACAAAGAGAATGAGAGAGAGAGAAAATAGAGAAAGAGAGAGAGAGAGAATGAGTTAGATAGAGAATGAGAGAGAAAGAGAATGAGAGAGAGAGAAAATAGAGAAAGAGAGAATGAGAGAGAGAGAGAGAGTATGAGAGAGAGAGAGAATGAGAAAGAGAGAAAGAGAGAGAGAGAGAAAGAGAGAGAGAGAGTGAGAGAGAGTGAGAGAGAGAGAGAGAGAGAGAAAATGAGAGTGAGAGAAAATGAGAGAGAGAGAATGAGAGAGAGAGAATGATATAGATAGAGAATGAGAGAGAAAGAGAATGAGAGAGAGAGAAAGAGAGAGAGAGAGTGAGAGAGAGTGAGAGAGAGAGAGAATGAGAGAGAACAAGAGAGAGAGAGAATGAGAGAGAACAAGAGAGAGAGAGAATGAGAGAGAACAAGAGAGAGAGAGAATGAGAGAGAACAAGAGAGAGAGAGAATGAGAGAGAGAGAGAGAGAATGAAAGAGAGAGAGAGAGAATGAGTTAGATAGAGAATGAGAGACAAAGAGAATGAGAGAGAGAGAAAATAGAGAAAGAGAGAGAGAGAGAATGAGTTAGATAGAGAATGAGAGACAAAGAGAATGAGAGAGAGAGAAAATAGAGAAAGAGAGAATGAGAGAGAGAGAGAGAGAGAATGATAGAGAGAGAGAGAATGAGAGAATGAGAGAATGAGAATGAGAGAGAGAGAGAGAGAGAATGATAGAGAGAGAGAGAGAGAGAGAGAGATGGACAGATAGATAGACAGAGAGAGAGAAAAAAAAGAGAGACTGACAGACATACAGACCGAGGCAGACAGACAAATATGGAGATAGACCATAGAATTTAATGCCAAATGATTTCAATATACCTTTCCATCCTCACTTTGTCTTCCCTCGAATCAACAGGCGTTTTTGCAGCGAAGTGAATCAAGTTCAGACCATAATTCGCGAACAGTTGGCACGTGTGGCGCGTGACTCACAAGTAGAGCTCGAACCTTTTCAGAAACTCTCTTGTATGTTTTCATTTCGGATTGTTTGTATTTACGGCTGACTCCGGCGCTCACGTGGTCGCGTATCTGACGTACAGAATTAATAAACTCGACTTGGCTTTCTTTTTAGCGTTCTCCGGACCAATAAAAAGGCGGACTCTGATGTATCTTTATTTCTGTAAGCTACGTATTTCTGTAACATACTGTGTAGTTCGTGCCAAAGTACGGTCTTAATAAAAGTGTATTTTCCCCCTCGTCTTCCTCCCCCGCAACAGAGATGAGGTTGTGTGAGCCAGTGTGTTCCGCGCCAAAACACCGAGCAGCTCGGTTTCCCTTCTCAACAACCCCCCCCCCTACCGATGCTCAGCTGGTTTTTACTCCCTCTTCTTTTCCGCCAGGATTCAGTACACTTTCTCGCTCCATTTCCCCTCTCGTTCCTTGCGCAAGTATCGAGAGGGCGAGCTTCCATAGGCAGGAACGTGGGATGATATGTGACAAAAGAATGAGAAGGCACGCGTTGCTGTCACCTTGATTGACTTGTCATCTCGTGCGCGTGAAACTGGAGAGCTTTTGCCTTTGTCAATAATTTGTCTTTCTCCAGCTTTCTTCTTTTGATATCTCCCATTCACGCCTCCTCTCCTATCATCTATGTTCTTTCTTATACTTTACCTTATTACTTTCTTTACGTTATTTCTTACATCCATACTCTCCCTCTCTTCCTCACCAGACAAACACACAAACACACACACACACACAGAGGAAGAGAGGGAGAGGGAGAGGGAGAGGGAGAGGGAGAGGGA